GGACATAGATCACTCTACGAACAACTGTTTGAAGAATGATAAATAAAAGTTTATACCATCATGCCAACCGTATGAATCTGATATTGAATTACTGTTTACCACAAATAACTCAACAAAAATTGAAAGACCATGAAAATTAATCATTAACATAAATCCAAAACCAATACAAATATTAATATATGTTTAGTTATCTACTCATTTTTTAATTTTATTTATCATTAAAAATGAAAAGATTGAAGTTTCAAAACAAATTTAAAACAACATACAACAGTCATTACTAATTGTCATACATATAACATAAACAATAAACACTCAAACTGTATTACTCAATTTTTATAAACTGTTTTTCAAAACTCTGTACTGAGATGACCCATTTTATTGAACTTATAATTTCTAAATTATTTTTTCTTTGCTTAACCCTCATTTTTTGTTCAAATATTTACTTGTAAAATACAAAATAACAAACCTGATTTTTTTTTAATTTTACTTGAAAATAAATTTTGCACAAATATATAATAATGATGTAGATTTAGGGGGGACACTATTTAATCTATATTTTATCATAACTTAATTAAATCGCAAGGGGACGCGGAGATCTGAATTTTTCTTAAATTTAAGATTGAAGAGTTCCACAATTTAAATAATGATTTTCCCACTTTAAAATGACTTCTTTAGATACTTTTGAAATTTCAAAAATTATTCCAAAATAATCAATAGGGAGACTAAACATTTATTTCTTCCGATACTTTAGATAACGAAGAGGAAGAACAAGAATCTAAATATATTCAAAAAGAACTAAGAGATATTTCGAAAAATATTTTATCCACTATTACAGCTATTTTTAAAATGGTATTTAACAGTGTTGGTATAACTATTAATAAAGCATATATTAAACCTTTATGTATATAGAGATTCGAAGATATGTTACACCAACCATCTACATTTAAACAAATCCTTAAAATTAACTTAAGTTGTGCTAGTGTCCAAGATGTGTTTAATATGTTAACAAATAAAGACAAACTTAAATTCTTAAAGGATAATAATGTATTTATACATGATATAGACTTTACATAATATTTTAAAGGAGTTTTTAATAAAGACAATGTTATGGAACATTTATTAAGTGTTGGATTCCGAGAAAAAGGAGACAATACATCTCCAGATAATTATACAGCGACAATATTAAATAATAGTATTACTGTTTCTAAAAACTGTTTAATTTTTATTAGAACAACAGATAATGGAACTATACGATATAAGTTTTATAATGCGTTTGTACAATCTATGGAAAATCCACGTGTTAGAAATTAAATTTGATCCCATATAAACGATTGGATTAAAAATCCAGAACCAATATTAAATAAAGCTATTAATTCTTTTTTTAGATACACAATTATTAAGGTTAAAGATGACATTCTAAAGATATAACACGAATTAGGAGTTAAATAAAAAATTTGTAGAGTACCGTGAAAAATCACTGCGGCGTGAAATATTACTGCGAATTGTTATTGGTCTAAAAATAATGTTATTAAAGGTTTTAAAACATTTTAGGTTATTTTTTGTTATACGAGGCCGTTAAAACGAAAAACGATAGTTTTTTTTTCAAAATCTTTTGAGTTCAAGTCAACAGATTGTGCTTAGAGGAAAGATGTGTTTTTATATACTTTTTATGAGATTTTTGTTTTTTCCTTTTCTAATTGAAAAACAAAACGATTTTTAATTTTTTGTTGTAACAAAAAGACAAATTCTAAATTATAGTTTCGAATATCCAAAATTAATTTTATCAAGTAAAAATTTGTTTTGATATTTTTAAAATGTGAATAAATGTACCAATAATTGATATTGAATTATTCGTTACATCAATTTATGAAATATAATTTTATTGAACAGTCGATATCTCTGCCAAAATATGAACATATTTTAACAATGAAGTTTTGCTTAATATCGTATTGTTGTTGAATATTAAAAATTATAAATAAAAAATGGTTCTCATAATTTTAATAACCAAATAATCACTTAACAATATAATTTTATTCTGATAAATAAAGTGTATTCATTAGTTGCTTTCATATGATTCATTATTCAAAAAATCATTACTCAATGTCTTGTTTATGTTTTATGAAAGTCGTTGATTTTTCGATTAAAAAATTTAGAGAAAGAATCTAACCGTCACACCGTGACACAAAAAATGGTTTAAAAACAAAACGAATAAACAATATAATTATGTATTTCATATCTTTATCTGTAATATATAAACTGTGCAGTAAATACTTGACATGTTGGTTGTATGACCACTGTCTATTTTGATTGTGGAATGTTGTGGAAATAACAATCACAATTCACATAAAATAAATCAAACAATGAACTATTATTATAGTATAAATATAATTAAAATCTAATTAACAACAAACAAGTGAAATAATTAAATAACATGTATTTAATTTGATCATTCACATAATATAAAAAGTTGTTTGCCAACTTTTTTTGCATTTTTCATGATTAATATAATATTTTAAAAATGTTTTCAATGATATAAATAAACGTTTTATTGTTGAAGTGATAACCACATAAACATGTGTCATATTATATTTTATCTACATTATAATATAATATTGTCGATAGCAAATAAAAAAACATCAAATTTCTTTACTTAATAATAATTATCAAAATTCAATGTAACTGTCTTGTTTTTGTTTATTTTTTTGGCTCATTGATAATTATATACACATTAATACCCACGAAAAACAAAACATCATTAGTCTCTTGTGGCCGTAAGTTGTTGAAACATACAGAGATTGTTGCAACAATCTTTTTATAAACATTTCAACAATCAACCATTTTTGTTTTTATTATTTATTTTTATTTACATATTCAACCTGGTTTTTTAAAATGAAAAAACAATGTGTTGTTTATACCAAATTATATAATTTGCTGTCAATTATTTATCTATTAAGTTATATAACAAAAATTTCTTTTGTTATCTTATTTTTTTCAATCGTACTAATTTGTCTTTTAATAAATACAAAACATCAAAAATGTTATTTTTAATTAATATTTTTTTATTATTAACTTTTGGGACAAATTAAAAGTTTATTTACTTTTAATTAAATATTGTTTACATGTTTCAATATAAAGACAGATTTTACATTTTTTGCTCCTTATTATGAATAAAAAATAAATTGACATATTTCACTATTATTAACAATGAAAAAAAGATTTCATAAAAATGAAAATTTACTCTCGCGGTTGCGCACCCTATTAATTATGGATAATTTTATTATAAATTATCATTATTTTTTAAAAAGTTAATACACCAGAACCCCAAACAACTAACTTCTTTCATTTCAACAAATTATTTAGATTTTAAATTGGTGTGATTAAATTATCGACCATTTGAAAAACCCACGCTCGTTAACCGTTTGTTATCATCAAATTGATTTATATTTTATAAATTTATCAATATGATATGTTTATAACTTGTTTATGTATTTTGTTTATGTTTATTTTATTGCAATTTGTGTTGTTATTATAATTTTGAAGTTGAAACGTTTATTCGATCTTTATAATTCGAGTTGATATTTATGTGCGTTTTTATATAATTATTATGTTAAATTTATTGATTATAATGGTAAATTGTGTTTATTCAATTAGAGTCAATAATTTCACTATTTCCAACAAAAATTAACGACTAGATGAGCAGAAATCAAATTTCATATTATGGTGTCCAAAAGGTGGACGATTTATTCAAATTTTCGATGTTTTAATTTTTTCGTTTATGTTATTATGTTTTGATGTATTGTTTGATAATTTATGTTATAAATTGTTAAAATCAATAAAATAAAAACCAATATACAGTTTGAGTTGTTTGGAATGTTCCGTTTTATGAATTTACCCTTGTTTTAATTGATAACCATATTATATAACATTTTTACAAAGTAAATTATTTTTTTTATGTTTTACAAGCAACAATAACATTATTTTTTTTTGCTCAATAACATTTCACAGTTATTTATTACCGTACTCTACATTTACAATATATTTTTTGTTAGTTGCCCAAAAATGCATAATTTGAAAATGAATAAACGGTGGCTGCAAAATAAACATTTATTTACCAAATATAAATCTTTATATTCTAAATAGAATGCATAAAACACGTTTTGCCTTTTGTTTTTGTTTGAAAATGATAAAAAATTCAAATTACAAACAATGAATTCATATCTTGCTTACTCGACAGTTGCACGACGTGAATTTCAATGGATGACCATAAAACCTCGTGGTGATCAAAGTTTATTTAAACGTGACTATATTGACTGTTTAAGTCATTTTCGAGAATTTTTCTCAATTTTGCGATTTTTGATACTTTTGAAAATGTATTTTACTTATCTTTTGGTTATTTTACACTATTTTTCTTTAAGATTTATTTTTCAAAGTCGGAACAAACAAAAGTGTCTTTACTTATTTTATTTCTTTTACAAAAAAATAGTAAAACCCAATTTTAAAATTATTTTATTTTTCAAAGTTTACAAAAAAATCTATTTATTTTCCCTTGTTGTTGTTTTTAAGATCAATTGCATATTGAAATTTCAAGACATTTCAAAGTCTGTTATTTATTTTTTTTTCTTTGTTATTTCATGATGTAATTGATTTTGAATATTCCGGACCAGTATGTTTTACGATGCAATTTAGTCTTTGTTATATTTTATAAGTATTTTTATTAATGTTATAAGTATGGACATCTCAATAAATTTTTGATCTGACTTTTCCATTGAACCGTGGCTTGATTTTGAAAAGATCAAGCAAAAAAGTGAACCTTTGTTCATCCCAACTTCAACAAAAAATTCACTTTTTTAACTATAATTTATAACAATTTACTATAAAAATATACTAGAGCCGTCTTTCCAGGGTGTCTAGCTTTTTTGAAAAAATTAAAGAAAAAAAGATCTTATTTACATTACAATTGACTAAGATTTTTATTTTTTTTTACAAATTTTGATTTTTCCCGTCCTCGAAGGGTAAACA